ACAAAAACAAAGTAGATGAAATAATCATCCCTTAACTTATACATTTTATAACATGTTTTCTTGTGTACTTTTAGAAATGTGTGTGTGTGTATATTTTTATATGCAGTTACATACATTAAAGTTTTTAATAAATGAGATAAAATTATGCAATAAACACAAAGATATACCACCCAGAGCCCCCTTAACAAGAGGGGTTTTTGTTTTCTTTTGTTTTTGTCCCAGATGCCGAAAGTGCTTTCAAAGGCCTCCTTCAGCTCCCTCAAAGACTGCTCACCTGTAGAGTGCATTGAGCCTCTGAGTGAGTCCAAACTCCATACTGGGCCTTTGGCATTTGGGTTAGGAGAAATCAGAATGGGGAAGACCAAATGGACGCCCCATCGCTGGCCAAAGTAATTCATCTAAAAAAAATCATATCCCAAGTATGGGTGGGAGGTAGAGACTAGTGCAACCTTCAAAGGTCTTAAGAATACAGGGGTAGCCGGGCTCGGTGGCTCAGCCTGTAATCCCGCGCCTTTGGGAGGCTGAGGTGAGTGGATTGCCTGAGCCCGCAGGTTCGAGACCCGCCTGGGCAGCGAGACCTCATCTCTACAATAAATCAAAAAATCAGCCGGGCGTGGTAGCACATGCCTGTAATTCCGGCTACTTGGAAGGCTGAGGCAGAAGGATCACCGGAGCCCAACAGGTTGAGGCTGCGGTGGCCGGGAGCGGCCACTGCACTCCAGTCTGGGCAACAGAGTGAGACTCCAACTCAAAAAAAAAAAAAGAATACAGGGGTAATTGTCCCTACCATATACTCATTCAATTCACTAATTGGTCCCTGAGAAAACCAGATGAAGCCTGAAAAATGACTTTAGACTACCAAAGACATAACCAAGTAGCAGTCCATTAATAATTCTGAAGAAACTCATAAAGAAATGTGCAGAATCTTTGTTTAAAAAAGCAAAAAAAAGTTACCAAAAAGCATAAAGAAGACTTGAATAAATGGAGAGCCATACTATGTGTCTGAAATGAAAGATTTGCTATTTCAGAGATGGCAATTATTTCCATATAAATTCATTTTTTTAACATTCTCAATTAAATACCAAAAGGTTTTTTAGAATATGAAGGCAGTGTTCTAAAATTAATTTGGAAGAATAAATGAATAATAATGGTCAGAAGTTTTACTTAAAAATATTGGTGGAAAGATGAGTGGCAGGATGATTCTATTATCATATATTTAATATACTGTAACTTAAAGTAATTTAGCTGAAGAAATAAAAATACAATACAAAATTTTTGTTTAATAGTGAAAATAAGCCGGGCTCGGTGGCTCAGCCTGTAATCCCGCGCCTTTGGGAGGCTGAGGTGAATGGATTGCCTGAGCCCGCGGGTTCGAGACCCGCCTGGGCAACTTGGCGAGACCTCATCTCTACAATACATCAAAAATCAGCTGGGCGTGGTAGCGCGCGCCTGTAGTTCCGGCTACTGGGAAGGCTGAGGCGGAAGGATCGCCGGAGCCCAGTGGGTCGAGGCTGCGGTGGCCGGGAGCGGCCGCTGCACTGCAGTCTGGGCGACAGAGTGAGACTCCAACTCAAAAAAATTAAAAAAATGAAAAAATAAAAGAAGAGAAGGAAGAGATGGAGGGTACAGAGGAGGAGAAGGAAGCCTGTGTTGGTTACTCCTGGAAAACGTCGCTTACTGAAATCATTCTCCCAATGAATTTAAGCGCTTTGATTTGCTGTAGGTAAGGATCAGAGTCACGGGA